TATGCAAGTATATGGAGCTGGGGGGGCCCGCGGCTACACCTATATATAGCGATCATCGCTATATATAGGTGCAGAGAGTAATTGTGGGCAGTCCGGGCCCCCTAGGACCACCTGGCCCGTGACAACCGTTATGGTTGTCACCCCCTGATGGCGACCCTGACTGTCAGTTATTTTATGTTCAAATCTTTTTACCAGGATTTGTTTTTTTTTGGTTGCTGCATTGTTTTAGATCAAAGAAAACTTTGATTTGTCTATCTACTCCTTTCTAAATTGATTGTGCGCATGTCTTCTGGAAGTAAATCACACCGGACACATTGCAGGTTTATGAAGAACTCCAGAGTGGCCTTTATTCCAGGGGGTGCAATTCCCTTTTAAAGCAGAAATACGTCATGTACAGAGACAAGACAATGCAAGGTTCAAAGTGATTTCTGAGCGCTTAATGAGCTGTGTAACAGGTTATATACAGCAGGAAACAGGGGTGGTCGTTACAAGCATTATCCAATCATAATAAAATCAACTATCTTATCTTACATAGTTACATAGCTGAAAAGAGACTTGCGTCCATCAAGTTCAGCCTTCCTCACAAATGTTGTTGCTGTTGATCCAAAAGAAGGCAAAAACCTGGTCTGAAGCGCTTCCAATTTTGCCACAAACTAGGAAAAAATTCCTTCTTGACCCCAAAATAGCAGTCAGATATCTCCTTGGATCAAGCAGCTATTACTCCATTAATTAGAAATTATATCCCTGTATGTTGTGTTTTTGTAAGTATTTATCCAATTTCAGTTTAAACATCTGTATGGACTCTGACAAAACCACCTCTTCAGGCAGAGAATTCCATATCCTTATTGTTCTTACTGTAAAAAAACCTTTTCTTTGCCTTAGATGAAATCTCCTTTCTTCCAGCCTAAATGTGTGACCTCGTGTCCTATGTATAGCCCTGTTTATGAATAGATTTCCAGATAAAGGTTTGTACTGGCCCCGAATATATTTGTATAAAGTTATCATATCCCCTCTCAGGCGCCGTTTTTCCAAACTAAACAGATTTACATTTTTTTAACCTTTCTTCATAACTAAAATGCTCCATTCCTTTTATCAATTTTGTAGCTCGTCTCTGGACCCTCTCCAGTGCCATGATATCCTTCTTTAGAACAGGCGCCCAAAATTGCACAGCATATTCAAGGTGTGGTCTTACCAGCAATTTATAAAGAGGCAAAATTATATTTTCATCCCTAGAATTTATGCCCCTATTTATACATGACAAAATCTTACTGGCCTTAGCAACTGCAGATTGACATTGCATATTGCTGCCTAATTTGTTGTCTATAACAATTCCCAAATCCTTCTCGTGTGTGGTTATCCCTAATTCACTACCATTTAGTGTGTAAGTTGCTTGTGCATTCTTAACCCCAATGTGCATAACTTTGCATGTTAAATTGCATCTGCCATTTTAGTGCCCAGTCCCCCAATCTATCCAAATCTCTCTGCAGCAAACCAATATCCTGCTCACATTTTATTACTTTACAAAGTTTTGTGTCATCTGCAAACACTGATACATGACTTTCAATGCCTATTTCAAGATAATTTATAAATATGTTAAATAGAAGTGGTCCCAAAACAGAACCCTGAGGGACACCACTTACCACTTTTGTCCAGCCTGAAAATGTACCATTAATTACAACTCGTTGTACTCTATCCTTAAGCCAATGTTCTACCCAAGAACAAGAATATTCATGTAGACCAATTTCTTTTAGTTTGAAGACTAACCTATTGTGAGGAACCGTATCAAATGCCTTGGCAAAATCCAAGTAGATCACATCCACTGCATACTTCTACTTACTTCTTCGTAGAATGCAATTAGGTTAGTTTGACATGACCTATGTTTCATAAAACCATGCTGATTATTGCTAATAACAAAGTTCTTCCCAATGAATTCCTGAATATTATCCCTTAATAGCCCTTCAAATATTTTCCCAGTTACAGAAGTTAAGCTCACAGGTCTATAATTTCCAGGCAAGGATTTTGAACCCTTTTTAAATATAGGAACAACATCTGCCTTCCTCCAATCCTCCGGTACAATACCTGAAACAAAAGAATCTTGAAAAATTAAACATCTTAACATGAAACATCTTAACATCTCAACCTATAGCAAGCTTGCAGTTGTATCTTCATGTTCGGGCCTTGCTCAAAGCTAAATTTCACTATAACTACGCACTTCAAATGAATATGCATGCGCACTAAGAATTAAAGATATTTACTACCAAGTTCTCAATTACACATTACTATGCAATTATGATCAAAGGGAGAAAAACAGGAAATAAGGCCAACAGCAGAAACATACAGGTTATAACATTAACACTTGCTACACAATGTTCTATAGTTCTTGTCTAGGGGTATATTCACTAAGCATTGTATATAGCTAAAGTACATTATTTCAAATAGCTGACATACTCCAAGTTAGCCAATTTTAAACAGACTGAACATCATGTCATCTGTAGCTTGAGCCTTGGGTCAGTATATGTCAGTATTGTTCCCAACAGTTTCCCTCCTTCGTTCACAACGTAAACGCCTATAATCAAAGTGGGAATAATACCTATCCCCCGTCCTTGGACCAGGGTCTAGGATTACCAGTCCACACGGTGATCTGGGGCCAGGTCAAAAACCCAGTGGCAAAAACTCATATGTGAGGAAAAAGCACATCTGGGGACCACTACCGTCTAGACATGTCATCCCCTCACGTTGACCTGTGAGTACATAGCTTGGGTACTGGGAGGAGATGCGAAACACTTCTTAATAATTGAAAAGGCCCATTTGCATAATATAATCATTAGGTATATTATCAGCAAACTCCAAATTACTACAATAATTGTAACCAGGACCTTGCATCCTACATCTCAAAACCTACCTTGCATCCTATATCTCAAAGTTTAACCCTTTAGCGCGTTCTTTGGTTGGCCTCTTCCTATAATTTGGCTCTTTGTGAAATTCTTATATTATTTATTTATCCTCTTCTGGGTCTGCAAAATACTTTCAATTTATCAATACAAATATAATACAGTAGTTTAGTAGATTAGAATTGCATCACTTATAAATGTCAGAAATTGTCTGATCACTATTAAAAATACTATTTCATCATTACCCCATGATCAATGAGGCATACTAGATGAATCTTACTCTGGAAATCATACATCTTTACTATTCATCCATAATTTATTTATTTTATTTTTTTTTCAATCAACTAAAACATCCAAAACTCCATTCATATACCTATGTATAAGAAGCCTTTTGAAAAAAATAATGAAAATTTCTGCAAAGCAGACAACCAGCATTGAAGATAGATCATAAAACTTTGCAAATGAACAGGAAAGTTGAATAAAACAGGAAGTCAACTATTGCAACCGCAACAATTAGCTACATTGTAGATCACACCACAAAACAGAGCCTCACAGAACTGTTAGAACTACTCCAACTCCCACTGCTCTTGGACAACAGCAATAACTCTAGTATTCAACAGCCAATAAAACAGTTATTTAATAGGTTACTAGGCTGGGATTTCTATCTGTGTCAATAGACTGATTCAAATATATTTAAAAAAAAACAACACAGTAACATACAAATTAATCTACTCGTCAGTTAAGCTACACACACTTCATAACTGGTATCCAAAACACACATTAACACAGGCAACATTTACACAGAATAAACTTTTAACAGCTGCATTCAGAACATATATTGTAAGGTATACCAATCTTAGTTTGTATCAGATTTATTTTAGGGTTTCTTATATATAAATCTATTTCCTTAATTAATTTATTACTTAATCTATCATAGTACGGTTTATAAAGAAGGGATCCCTTTATATAGCGCGCTCTCGTCTTGAAACTTGCATTAACTAATTGTAACATATGTACCCTGTTAATAAAATTTCTCTCTTAGATGATGCTACATCATCCTAAATCTTATAGAAATTGAGCAAACATTTGGACCAGATTACACAGTAATACATTCCCCATACAATAATTTCATAGATTTTCACAAGTTAAAAGAACACATAATGTGAGACATATTAGTCATAATAGGGAGTATTTCCATAAAGATTAAACTACAGAGAATCTTAAAACATATGTAACAAGTAATGCACTGGATCATTTAAAGTACCTGTAGTGTAACCGCAGGTGGTTCCCTTACTTACCACTATAATGTCTTAAAGCATAGAACTTAGTAGGGCTAACCATACAGATATCTTAGCCATAATTTTATATAGTTAGTAAGAGATCCTCTATTTAACATATATAAATAATTGAGAATACAATATTAAATAAGGATTGTCTTGGAAGCAATAGTTTTGTTTTTTTGGATATTTATTATATAAAAATATAAATATAAAATCCATTATAGCAGAGTTTATAAGATTAAATTACATGCTTGCAAATATCATGAATAGGTTAACATACCCTTCTGAACATGTCATCATGTCAGCCTCTCTGTCATTTTAAGATGGAGCAGCGTCTGTCTCCAAATCTCTCCTCTGTGTCTTAACATTTAAAAGTACACCTATTTATACCTTAGGTGTCTCCATTTTCGGGTTACCGTAGTTCATATGTGAAAAAGTAACACTTCTTTTACTTTATTTATTTTAGGACCTCCCTTAATTTGGCAAACATACAAGGCCATAACAGAAGGGTGCATACATCATGGAAATTTTCCTGACTTAGTTCAAGATGGCATCTTAAAGTCTGAATAGGTTATCTGTTGTTTATACTAAGTCGTAAGTGTACAGTCGTGGGAGATTCCCGGATTTGGGGAAGTTCCATTAACTTGGGGTTACCACAGTATATTGTGTACTGCAAGAGTCGTAGTATAGCCTTGAAGCTTGTTTATGCATTATTGTTATTGTAATTCGTCTGGGACAAAATGGCGCAAACATATTATGCACTGAGGTTATTGCTTAAAGAAACAGTTATGAAAAACAATATGTTCCATTTCTAACACCTTGTCAGTTTGCAATATCTCTTAAAGACAAAGTACACAGTTTAAGAAATACAACATTTCATTCTAAAACTTGTAATATTTGCATTTTCCCATAACACCCTCTCCATTAAACTGTGGGCATTGTAGCGCATTTCTTCCTTAAATTAGTAAACCAAAGTTCTCCAACAGTCTTTAGTTTTTTTTGTGCTCCCAGCATCTTTGATCATTGTTGTAACAGTAAAACATCCGTAGTCTGATCTTTGCCTGTAAAGGTGGTTGATTAAAATGAGCAAAACTTTTGTCTGGGAAAGAATTGAAAAGAACACCAGGTTCTAGAGTAAGATATTTTTGGATGTATCCGGATACGAATTGTAATCCAAAGTTAAAAATAGTAATTGTATTTGTAATCCAAAGTCTTTAAAGGCCTGTAGAAGTTTACATTTCTTAAATACATTGCTGGAGGTTGTGTTTATAGAATACCCGGGTATTTGTTGTAGAGTATAGGTTGTAGAGTCCAGCTTTCCAAATATTTGGCTAGAATTGGTTGCAGATATTGAATCAGCATCACCTGTTATCACTGTGGTGATGGTGTTGGTATTTGTCTTTGTCTTTGCTTGTTTGCTTTGTTTTTTCCATGAAACATTTTTACACCGTTTATGATGTGTATAGATTGGATACTCTCCGATATTCTTTTACGGAATAAATTAATTGACAGCATTTCCAAGACATTGTCGTAAATGTTATGTTGATACAGCATTCTAAGTGGATTCTCAAGAATGCCTCTTTTTGCGGTATTGGAATCTTTGAAACATCTCAGTGATAGACATCTCAATGACATCAGGTGCTGTTGTGCTAAAAATGTTAACAGGTAAAATCTGTGGAAAAATCTTTACATTTGTTATACTTTGTATAATAATGATAGATGAAATAGTGACATAGTTAATCTTTCTAGTGTTTTGTATTAAAGATAAACACCCTTGTATATGATTTAGAGATATAAGGATAATTTGAAGCAGCAAAGTATTTACCGCCTTTGTTCACAATGGTATGTAAAATTACATTCTCTTTAAATGTTAAAAATACTCTTTTATTCAAAATCTCTCAAACTATTTAGAATAGTTGCTAATTGGAAATATGACGTTAATTATCTTTCTTTGACCTGTTAGGGAGAAGACAACTTATTCCCTAGTTATTATTAGTAAATATAATAACTACAGTTCTTAGTGGCTTAAAATACCAGAAACCCCCAAATATTGTCTTAGAAAACATTTTTTTTACCAAGATCTGACAGCCATTGTGGAAAGTTACGTTCGTGAGATTGGATGCTTAACAATGTGAATCTTAATTGTTTAAGTAAATTTACCAGCAGCTGTTGGGTGTAGCTTAAGATTATTTGGAAGTCCAGAATATAGCAAGAATGCTTTGTCGTTTGATTCTATGGAGCCATTTAACGTTTTGATTGGTATAGTTATACCAAAAGAGCAAGGAGTACGACGGTAGATCACATCTGCAACAGAACCATTACAGATTCCTTATTGTATCAATGTCTCTGTGTTTATGTTTACAGGAGTTCCTTGCTTTGCAGGTATGTACATAATATGTAGAGTTTAAGAAAAGCTGCAAATCGTGCTTTAGTGCAAGTGTCCCATGATGTCAGGTTTCTGAAAGATTTTGCTGGCCTTTTATATTCCATTCTCTTGGCAGGGCATCTGCTCTTAGTAAGCCGGTCTTGTTATTATTTATTAATTGCATCAAGGTTTCTTTCGTTAATTTATGTGTTTCTTCCGAATTCAAATTCATATGCCACCAAATGTCATTGTAAAGTTCATTCTTACAGAATATTGTTCCAGGATGGTTTTTCACTCCAGTAGGAAATCTATTTTCCTCTTCTTCTGCTCCTTCATTTAACCACTTTTTCTGAGTTGTAGGCAACAATCTGTGTCTTGTACTGTGAGGTGCTTTGATAGTCAATCAGGTTTTCTCAGTACCATGTTCCATCTTAAGAAATAGCTGGGTGTTGACAGTTATCAGCCTTTATTTCTTTTTCCGGTCATCTTCTGTCTGGAAACATAATAGCAATGTCCAGAATTAGCATAGCATTTCTTTTCAGCATAAGAAGGCTGTTTGCGGTAGTCATTCAATGATAAAATATATGGCAAAGTCTTTTCTTAATCACCTTCATAGGTGCATCCAAAGTCTTTCACAAGCATCTGTCCTGTCTTTTCCTGTTTTCAGCATGCTTTGCCATCATCGTTGAGCAGGGCCGGACTGGGAAAAAAATTAGGCCCGGGCATTTTTCAATCAGAGCAGCCCCCTAACAAGCGGGCGGGGCCAGAGAGGGTGTGTTCTGTCATCACTAATTACAAGCACGCCCCCTCTCAAAGTGAGCATGTTGGTTCAATGCGTAGAGCCCCGCTGAAGAACTCTGGCATTAGAAAAAGGCCCTGTATTTGTTCTGCGCAGCGCAAGCAAATTTAATAACATGCTTGTGCTGTGTTTCCTTTTAATTTGTCTCTGGTGTCTCCACAAGTGGGATACCAGTGGACAAAAGGGCCAGGAAAGGTGTGTGTAGAGTGAGCTGATTGTGGTGTGGTATTGTGTAAATAGGTCAATTTCTTTTGTGTCTGTGGTGTAATATGTGTGGCTAGGGGCTGTAGAGTGTGTGTGTGTAGGGGGCATAGTACTATAGGGGATGTAGCGAGTGTGTGTATACGGGCTGTAGTGTGTGTATAGGTGACGTAGTGTGTGTAGGGGTTGTAGAGAGGGTGTGTTTAGAGAATGTTGTATGTGTTTGCTGACAAGGAATGCAGTGTGTGTGTGTGTGTGTGTGTAGGAGATCTAGTGTGTAAAGGACCCAGAGTGTGTATAGGAGATTGTGTGTGTGTGTGTGTATAGAGGATTAAGAGTGCATATAGGGTAAGGGATCTAGCGTGTATCTGGAGCGTAATGTGTGTACTGGTGCAGTGTGAGGGGTGCTGTAGTGTGTGTGTATATATATATATATATATATATATATTTGGACGTATTGTATCTGTGAGGGGCGCTGTGTGTGAGGGTGTTTTTATCTGCCGTCACATTCTAGGTTTCTAATTTTCTTTGTTAACTCACTGAGGGTTATTTTATTTATTATATATATATATGTGTGGGAGTGTGCTGTGTGACTGAGGGTGCTCTGTGTGTGTCTGAGGTTTCGCTGTGTGTGTCTGAGGGTGCGCTGTGTGTATCTGATGGTGCGCTGTGTGTGCCTGAGGGTATGCTGTGTGTGTCTGGGTGCACTGCGTGTGTCTGGGGGTGCTGTGTGTGTCTGAGGGTGCTGTGCGTATCTGGGGGCGCTGTGTGTGTCTGGGGGTGCTGTGTGTGTCTAGTGGTTCTGTGTGTGTCTGAGGATGCTGTGTGTGTCTGGGTGCTGTGTGTGTCTAGGGGTGCTGTGTGTGTCTGAGGGTGCTGTGTTTGTCTGGGGGTGCTGTGTGTGTCTGGGGGTGCTGTGTGTGGGGGTGCTGTGTGTGTCTGGGTGCTGTGTGTGTCTGTGAATTTATTTTTTATTTAAATTAAAATATATATTTTTTTATCAATAATTTAAAAAAAAAGTTCTATCCCCTCCTCACCTTTAGCCTGGGAGGGGGGGGGGAGGGGGAAGCCGTTCTGCCTGGGGTGCCATGAGGGGAGCCGTGCTGCCATCTTTCCCTGGTGGTCCAGTGGTGAGAGTGAACTCTAGCCTGTAGGCTAGAGTTCACTCTCGCGAGATCTGAGCGTTGCCCGCGAGAGGACCCGGCGGAGCTGCTGGTTAGAACTCTGCCGGTCCTCTCCTGCCTCCCTCCCTCCCCCGCCTGCGGCCCCATCTCCATGCCTGTGGGCTGGTGAGGGAGATATTTGATCTCCACACCGGCCCATGGAGGCACACAGCAGGGCCGGCGCTCGAGTAGGATCACAGGATCTCCCCTGCCGGCCTCGGCCCATGGCCGTCGCGGCCAACCGGGCATTTGCCCGGTATGCCCGATGGCCAGTCCGGGCCTGTCGTTGAGTCCATTATTAGGATTTGAATTAGTTCAATCACATCTTTCTCATGTATAATCGGTTTTTGGAATGATCTTCAATAGGTTCCTTGTGAAATACCAGTGTATGCAATCATTTCACTGTGAGCTGTGTCTCTCCTTATGAGATAGTTCTTGAAGGTAGTCTGAAACCAGAAAGTGTCTGCCGGTCACCACGTGGTCTGCGTAATAACTTAGCCACGTTAGACATGCGTGATAATGAAACAGCATGGTTGCTAAGAAACCAGTGTAAATAAATAGTATAAGACCGGTTTCACATAGTTCCGTGACGTGAAGAGTCTACGTGACTGTCTAATAAAACATTGGTGAAATGTGCATATGCTATATATTATGAGAATCTACTACTGCAATATGGGTCTAGACTTTTTTTACATAACCTATTAATGGACACTATGTCAGTGGTGGATCCGGGGGAGGGGCAACGGTCTAACTCTCCCTTGCCAGCACATGCAGAAAACTGACAGTCTAACTCTCCTGAGAAAACCGACAGTCTAACTCTCCCCTGCCAGCACATGCAGGTGATAGCCCTGCAATGTGCCTGTGGACCGAGGAGGGAGATCAGAGATCTCCCTCCCCAGTCCGCAGGCACTGTACTGACAGCCGGCAGGGGAGGGAGAGGGAGGAGAGAGGACCCAGGAGCTCAGGCTGCAGCTCCTCCGGGTCCTCCTCTCGCGAGATTTGGAGAACCATGGCAACGCTCCAAATCTCGCGAGAGTGAACTCTAGCCCTGGAGCGCGGGCTAGAGTTCACTCTCCCCACTGGGACCACCAGGGAATCCCCACTGGACCACCAGGTATCGGAATATGTCCCCCCGTCCTCCTCAATAAAGGTAAGAAGGGAGGGGGGACATAGAATATTTATTTATTTTAATTAAATAAAAAAATATATATTATAAAAAAAGGCCCCCTACCCTGATCACACACACATACACTGCCCCCCATACATGCACACACATACATTGCCCCCCATACACACATACTGCCCCCATCGCCCCCATACACCACACACACTGCCCCCCATACACACACACTGCATACACACAAACTGCCCCCCACACACACATACTGCCCCCCACACACACACTGGCCCCCATACACACATACTGCCACACACATACACACTCTAAACACATACACTACCCCCATACACTGCCGCCCCATACACACACATTGCCCACACTCACACATACACTGCAATACTCACACACACACTGCAACTGTTACACACACATACTGTCCCACACATACACTGCATCCCTGACATACACTGTCGCCCTCCCTCACACACACATTGCACCACTCACACACACCACTGCTCCTATGCCCTACTACAGCCCCATTTCCCAGCAGATCTCAGGTAAGTTGTCAAACTGTTCTTAAACGGTTTGACTACTTACTGTGGGAGGGGGTCCCGGCACTATTGACACCATAACCACTACACTGAGCTCTAGTGGTTATTGTGTCTGGATTATTTCTTTAAATAATCTACAAGTGCCCCTCCCAAGATCAGGCTCTGGATCCGCCACTGCACTACTTTCTCATATGTCTTACATACACTTACTATATTTTCTTTTGAATGCTCCTTATATGTGTTCTAATATGATTCTCATAATATATAGCATATGCACATTTCACCAATGTTTTATTAGACAGTCACGTAGACTCTTCACGTCACGGAACTA